GGGTGTAGGATGTAGGGTGTAGGGCTTGGGAATGCCCAAGCGAAGTTGGAGGACGCTGTGGTTGCTGGATGTAAACAAGCCGTGTCATACCCTACCCAAACCCTAAACCCCAAACCCTAAATCCTAAAACCCAAACCCTGAGCTCGCCAGGCCCCATGGGCCCTGCCCGCACTCGGCCGCCGGAGTGCTCGCCGGGAGATGCCGGGGCAGGTTCTGCAGGCGGTGCGGGGGTGGCTTCTTTAGGGTTTAGGGCTTCGGGTTTGGGGTTTAGGGTTTTATGGTTTTAGGGTTTAAGATTAACGGTTTATGGTGCCAAAATCATTGGGTACATTTGTCCTCTTGCTGAGATGCAGTTGGTTCTCCTAGGTACAGAATCCTGACGAAAGGACCGGACCGCCAGTTGGTTGCATCAATGCTCCTCAACCCTTATGTAGAGGTACCAATTGTAAATGCATATTCGCACGCATGTTTCTCTATGTTGTATTTTCTCTCTCTCTCCACATATATATATATATATATCTGTCTGTATGTATGTATGTATGAATGCATGTATGTATGTATGTATGTATGTATATACACATATATGTATACAATGTACATATAAATGCATCTGGAAAGTTGTTTTCGAGTTTAGGCTGAAGAGCTTCACACTGTGACTCCGGGCCCTTTAGAAACCTCTACAACTTCTTCGCCTTCGCTGTATGTGCTTAATGTAAGGGCCTTAGTAATTAGCATAGGGCTCTGCGGGTTATCATAGTAGAATTATGCAGGCGTCATGAGGGAATACTATTCGCAATCATTCCGACTCCTAAATTGTCGGAGCTCGGAAAGCTTCTTTTCCCGACTTGGGAGCCCTCCGGCCCTTGGCAGGTGGCGGCTGCCACGATTGCGGAGGTGCGGTTGAGTTGCTCCAGTCGGTGAGAGATCAGGATTTAGGATAGGGGTCCAGCTCAAGTTCATATCATGGCGTGTGTGTTGTGTGTGTGTAGGTGTAGGTGTAGGTGTAGGTGTAGGTGTAGGTGTAGGTGTAGGTGTAGGTGTAGGTGTAGGTGTTGTAGTAGTAGTAGTAGTAGTAGTAGTAGTAGTAGTAGTAGTAGTAGTAGTAGTAGTAGTAGTAGTAGCAGTAGTAGTAGTAGTAGTAGTAGTAGTAGTAGTAGTAGTAGTAGTAGTAGCAGCAGAATCACTGTATGCCCCAACAAGGTACTTATAACGGAAGTTGGTTATAAGTACAGAATTGGTTAAGAAGTACCATGAACCTCCAAGTGCCAGAACCCACCAGCCCTCAACCCCCCCCCCCCCCAAAAAAAAAAAAAAAAAAACTAAACCCTAAACCCGAAACCCGAAACCTTAAACCACCTCCTCGGTTCAAGCAGTTAACGCAGCAAGCGGCAAATCTCCACCTGACAATCTGGGGAGAGCCATGGCCCGCACCTGCGTCGCGTGCCTCCTCAGCTTCTTACTCAGCCAATGGTTGAGCTTTGTTTTTGTGGGGTTTAGGGTTTAGGCGCCTTATTTAGTAGGAAAAAAACTGTTTAACCCTTTTTTTTTCCCCCTTGGTTATTGGAGATTTCCTTATTTACTAGGAGAAAAGCGTTAGAGTTTCACCTTGCTTTCCCCCTTGGTTTCTTGGAGAAGTAAGGTCTGGGCCTGGGAGCCCTGGCGCAGGTCCCTGTGAGGCTGAGAGTCGGCATGACCAGGGAGGCCACCCCTGCGAGTATTAGGGTTTTAGGGGTTGAGGGGTTGAGGGGTTTGGGGGTTTTAGGGGTTTTAGGGGTTGAGGGGTTTTAGGGGGGTTGAGGGGTTGAGGGGTTTTAGGGGTTGAGGGGTGGAGGAGTTGAGGGGTTGAGGGGTTGAGGGGTTGAGGAGTTGAGGGGTTGAGGGGTTGAGGGGTTGAGGGGTTGAGGGGTTGAGGGGTTGAGGGGTTGAGGAGTTGAGGGGTTTAGGGGTTGAGGGTCCGGACCCACCGTAGCGACGGTCGTGGATCAGGTCGCATCCGGCTCCGGGGTCTATGTGGCTGGCGACTTCCAAGACTGGCTGCCCAACGTCACACAGCTGCCCGTGGGCTCTTGGAAAACAGGTTCTTTTTTCCATAAGAAGGCCCTTTGAGGGTAACCTGAGACCCATCTTTACCCTAAACCCTAAACCCTAAACCCTAAACCCTAAACCCTAAACCCTAAACCCTAAACCCTCTTTAGCCTGGACAGAAGCAAGGCTGGTCGATCTCGACGGCACAGGTGTGTACGAGGTAGCCTTGAACTTGAGCGCAGCTTAGGGGCACTTGGAAATATCTCTTGTTTCGGTACTATAATTCCAAAGAAACAGCAAACACATATTTTTTGCCAGGGTTCCAAGTTCGGTACAGGTAGGTTTCCATGAGTTCAAGTTCATCAACAGCAACACCTGGGCGAATGCTGAGGAGGTGCCCAGGACCCGGAGTGGGCTCCTACTTCTTTTTGTTTAGGGTTGGGGTTCCCTTATACCCTAAACCCTAAACCCTAAACCCTAAGCCCTAAACCCTAAACCCTAAACTCCTGGCGCTAGGTGCCCTTTGGATGCAGCGAGCAGCAGTCAGGGCACTACAACCGCTACCTTTCGATACCCGAAGACGCCGCTGCCCTGGAGTACCACACCTGCTTCAGCGCGTGTGACTCTATCCCCCTTTGGGATTTTTTTTTGTTCATATAAACGCCCAAGAGGATAATTAATAGTTAAGTAAGAAGAGTCCGGGGGACTGTGGGCGTGCACTTTTTTGTGTGTTTTTTTTACTCTCTCGTACTTGATAACTATCGTTCAATCTTCAGGTGGTGATCTCTCTCATCTTAATTATGAAATGGCCTTGTCATTATTTGTGCGAGAACATGCTATGTGCGAAGTGCTACTACGCTTCATGCCAGGCCTTGATCACATGGAAACAGCTTTTCAGATCAAGTGAGTATCCCAGTGTTTTGGGCTATAGCAAGATATCCAGGTGAGTCTATACCCGGCTTAGTTCGTGAACTAGGAGGACAAGACGGAGAACTCACTTTCGATGAGGCTGTTGGTCAAGTAGCAGGTCAAAAACTCAAAGGACCAGAGACACGACCCATCAAGTGCGATCGTCGGAACGGTGTCGGTCCCCTCCCAACGACCTACCCTTGCTTCAAATTTTCTTAGTATAGTCAGAACAAGGAATCCTAAGCTCGCATATTTGAGCACCAGGAAATGAAGGACAGCTATTGGGACAATTGGGACACACGCCTCACAGGCTCCGATAAGCCAGCATGGGGCTACTCCATGTTTTGAATCTTGACAGGACAATGATGGCTTTACAGTAGTTTGTATGTGTTAATTTATCTTGGCAACTTGTTTTTTCGAAGGGCAAAGAATGTTGCTTTATTAGATAAATTGTAGTTTCGCAAGGCAAAGTATTAATCAAATACCATACGGAAAGTCCACTGAAGTGCTTTGTTTTTTCGCATGAATGAAATAGTCAATGTATATTATACACAGCATTTGCCCTATGCGAGTTTAACTACTGCAGCACTTAGTATATAGCTGAATATTGACTAAATGAATTCCACTTAAAAAGGCTGTTTTTTTGCACAACTAAAGTACGCGCTAGACACCTTGAGTTTCATAATAATGAAACCAATGCTACTGAAGTACTAGTTAAAGACTACTGATGCGCGATGCCTGAAAAGAGACAGGCTTTAAAATGCACAATTCTCATAGTAAAGTAGTTGTTGCCTCACAAAGGTCATAGCACAAGAAAATTCACAAACGCAAAAAACCGAAATGCAAGCTTCTCAGGAGAACCTCTGGTGAAGTTTGGATTTGAGGGTTTTGAAGTCTCTCTAGATAAATAAAGCAACTGTTTAAGCAAATAACTCTAGGCAACAAACCTGTTTCCAGGCAAATATTGCTTCTACTAGGCAAAATATTGCGCAAACCATGCAGTACTCATTACATGCTGATTCTACCAATCTAGCAGTCAGTGAATATTCAATTATTGGGCGAGTACAAGATTTATTGAATATACACAGAATATGACATAATGCTCAGTAAATGGTACTTGACAACAGAAAACTAACTCAATTATGTACTAATGAAATACAATTTATATACGATTTGCTTAGACAAGTGCAATTTACATAGAAAAGCCTTGAAAAGCACAAATTCCTAAGAACCATACCATCCACCCAGTAAAGGCTATAGTACTGAGCATGGGAATGCGGGGTTTGGGGGCAGAACCAATGCTCAAACGCTCTTTACATGCTCTTTACATGCTACTTGAATATGAAACTAAATCATTCATGTACCCATTAAACACAGTACTCTTTACATATACGATGCCTAGAAAAGTACAATTTGCATAGAAAAGCGTAGAAAAAGCACAATTTTCTAAGAGGGAAGGGGGGCTCAGGCAGGAAAGGCAGTACGGAAAAGCACAAAAAAAGCCACAAACGCACAAAAACACACAAAAAGCTAAAATTAGGAACAAGAACATAAAAGCCAAACAAATATATTTCAGGATTCTCCACAATATTCTCACGGAAAAAACAACAATATTTCAGGACTCTCCACCAAATCTGTACGGAAAGCCAAAAAAACAAAAAAAACAAAAAAAAAACAAAAAACCCAATTTTCAGGGACTCTTTGAAATTAGGCCATCTGCTGGAAGAGTCCTGAAATATTGTTTTTTTTGGTTTGTTTGGTTCTTTTGGTTTTTTTGGTCTGTTTGGTTTTCCGTACGGATTTTCCGTACGGTTTTGGTGGAGAGTCCTGAAATATTGTCTTTTTTTAGTTTTTTTAGTTATCCGTGGGACTGGAGAGTCTAGAAATATTGTTGTTACTGGGGTTTTTTTAGTTCTTCAACAGCGACAAAAGGCAGAGAAAGTGCACGCCCACAGTCCCCCGTTTTGTAAGAATATTATGTTTATGTTTATTTAGGTTCTAAGGGGAGTAGAGGTGAGCCCTGTGATGAGATTCCTCCTTGCAAGCTCTTTACGTGCCCTAGCTCGATGCTTCATCGCCCGGAAGCGCTGGAGCTCGTCGCCACGACCGCGGCCGAGTGCTGCGTGGATGCTTTGTGATAGTTGGGTAACATTTTTACATGTTTAAGGGTACTCAAACCCAAACAAGGAATATAGACTTAAATTTTTAATACTATCCCAACCATGAACTAGGATGGTTCTGCTGACTTGATGGAAGTGGTGGTCCAGAGCGCCGGCTTCTCTGATGGGAACCAGGTGGGCGTTCTCGAAACATTTTGGGGGTACCCTTTTTTGGGGGAGGCCTATAACATGAAGATAGCAAGAACTATCTTTTTTTTTTGGTTTGGGGGGCGGCATATATGAAAGAGGGGCTGCTGTTTTTTTTTAGCACTACCCAGGTGTCCTTCTGGCTGAATGGAAAGGAGCTTCACTCGACCAGGTCTCGAGGTTTCACGGCCCTGGTGCTGGCCGTCGACGGCGAGGTCATCGCAGCCCCCGCGAGCTTCGACACCAACCAGGGCTCCGAGGAGTTCGAAGCTTTGCCTCCCTTTGTGGGATAGTTTTTGTTAAGTAGGTTTCTCCTCTTTTGGGTTTAAGAGGGCTAGCCCTAAACCCGAAACCCTAAACGCGAATCCCGAAGCCCTAAACCGTCACCCTAAACCTTCAACCCTCAACCCTCAACCCTACACCCTGAACCCTAAACCCTAAACCCTAAAAGGCCCCAAGGGGGCCCATCTGAGGAAGCCTTTTTGGAGAGTTTAGCGCCCAACACCACGGTCCTCCTCGGCGTCTCGGACGAAGCCTCCTCCGGATTGACCCAGCGCGGCAAGGCCCTTGGGAGACTTTATGCTTCCCCTTTATTGGGTTTAAGGTTTAGGGTTTAGGGTTTAGGGCTTAGGGTTCAGCAGCTCCGGTCCGGGTCGAGCATTCTCTAGTAGAGCCGCTGCTTCGACTCTAGCAAAAAACCACCCACCCAGAGAATCCCAAAACATTAGGAAATATTAAGGAAATATTAAGTTAACATTTTCATCAGCAAGTGGACAAGGCAGGGGAGGGGGAGGGGAGGGGTGGAGAGGGGGCAAATTTGCCCTTGTGCCTTGTCCACGAAGCCTTGTGCCTTGTCCACGAAACCTTGTGCCTTGACCACGAATGACCTTAAGGTTTAAATAAGTAAGTTTAAAAAAACAAATATATATATATATATATATATATATATATAGTAAGAGAGGTTTAGGGTTTAGTGTTTAGGGAGCACGGCAAGGCCCTGATCCAAGCCTGTGGTGGCCAGCAGATTGCGAGCCTGCGCTTCAGGGATTCCTATGCTCTCGTCGGGGTGATTTGGGGGGAACACATCAGCTTTTTTTCATCCTTAGGGTTTAGGGTTCAGGAGGTTCAGGAGGTTCAGGAGGTTCAGGAGGTTCAGGATGTTTAGGGTTTAGGGTTTCGGGTTTAGGGTTTAGGACCCTTACAAGGAGGGGCGCCCGAGGTTTAAGTAAAGCGATAAGTACCCTAAATTGGGTGAGAAGGATCCTAAGGATCCCAACTTAGTTTATAAGTCCCTTGGCTGTACTTAGTATAGTAAGGGGCTGCCCGCCCTTGTAGACTTCCCGAAGAAGCCAAGCTTGTGTTGGGGTCCGGTGGGGCCCGGGAGTGTCTTGCAACACCTCACCAGCTCAGGTCAAGGATGGCGCTGCGTACGCCGAGGCCTACATTCCACGCGGTCAAGGCGTGGCCGTGGCCGTGGGCACGCTACCGCGCGTGGAGGTGCCACTGCAAGAGCACGTGCCTTGCGTTGCACGGGCCCCTGTGCCTCCGACGAGGGGCAAGCTCCACTCTTCCGGCAACTTGGAGATGTACACCGAGGCCGGCAAGTGTCGCTACCCGGTCTATGAGCCAGACAGCATCGGGGGTTGTCTGGGAGGATCATGGGTTGTCGTCACTTGCTAGCCCAGCGGTACCCTTTACCTTTTGTTGGGGGGTTCAAGGTTTTCGTAGGATATAAGGGTACCCTTATGATACTATGGCTAGTGGGCTACCAAGGTCATGGGCACCTCGAATGCCCAGCTTATGGCAAACACCTTGCTGTTTGTGTTGGCCCACGAGGAGGCAATTCCATACATCGAGCCTGGGCCTCTTCTTGTTTTTTTGAAGTGTCCTACTTGATGGTTCATAGGTGCAAGTAGGGTGATAAGCACACAGAAGCTTATAGCCAGTTATACGTAGAGTTGCCTTGCTCTTAACCCCATGTCCACTTGCAACTACCCATGAACCCCCCAGTGTTTTTTTCTACATGGAGAAAGCGCCCCAACCCCACCCCCCCTCCCCCCCCCCTCTCCTCCCCCCACCCCAGCCCAGGATTTTGGGAGCTACAACTTTCTGGATTTCATCCTGGAAGATGGTCAAATCAGCCGCTTCCACTCAGCTAAGTTCACATGATTATGGGGTTTGCAGTAGGGTTTAGGGTGTAGCAGGAGGCCCGAAACCCTAAACCCCTCAAGTACTGCAACGTTTGCTGCAATTAAAGCCAGCAAACCAGGACCGGGGGAGGCCCTTGTTTTTTTTTTTTGTTTTTTTTGTTTTTAGGGTTTGGGTTCCCTTAGAAGCCCCTTTAACCCAAAAGGGCGCGCTTTTTCTCTTCTTAGAATCGCTGTTGGGTCGAGTGGTTCATGAGAAAGTAGGGTTACAGTGTTCAGGGTTTAGGGTTAGAGGGTTAGAAGTAACGACAATGAGGTTCTAGGACCCTTAGTGGGCCCTTGTTTCCTTTTTAGGGTTGGGGTTTCCTTAAAAGTCCCCTTAAAACCAAAAAGGGCGCACCCTTTCTATTCCTAGGTTACTCCTGGGTCTAGGGTCACAACCAGTTATATTGCAAGTACCCACCTGTAACTACCCATGAACCTCCAAGCAGCCCTGAACCCTCAAGCCTAAACCCTAAACCCTAAACCCTAAACCCTAAACCCTAAACCCTAAACCCTAAACCCTAAACCCTAAACCCTAAACCCTAAACCCTAAACAGTAACCCTAAACCCTAAACCCTAAACCCTAAACCCTAAACCCTAAACCCCAAGGCTACTTCAACGCTATCGACTACTCCGTGGCGACCTGCGCGCAGAACTCCTCGGGCCTCAGCGATCATGAGCAGCGATGCAAGGAGATCTATGCTGCAGAGCTTGCAAAGGCTCCACCCTAAACCCTAAACCCTAAACCCTAAACCCTAAACCCTAAACCTCCACCCCGCAAGTACTGTGACTTCGGGATCTGGTTGGTTTAGGGTTTGGGGCTTAGGGTTTAGGGTTTAGGGTTTAGGGTTTAGGGTTTAGGGTTTAGGGTTTAGGGTTTAGGGTTTAGGGCTCGCCAAGTGTGAGGCTGGCATGAAAGCAGATATGAAGCCTTCACAACTTGAGCTGTATACCAAATTCTCCCTAACCACATTAACCCAAACAGCGCCCATAGCCCCAGCAACCCTAACAGCAGTTAGAGGGCAACAAACTGTAGCAGTACCTGGCGTTGATTGTGTGTGTGTGTGTGTCAGAGACTTACTTACTTTTGCTTATCCTCATTGTGTCATCTTCGGCTTGTTGAGTATCTTCAATGCCACACATTACGACGCAAGAATATGCCCAGACATGCTCACTGTCCACGAGCTCTTAAGCCCCTCCCCCCCTCCCCCTTGAAGCCTATCCCTGAGAACCCGAAGCCCATCCTAAAAAGGCGCCAGAGCTGCGCCCCGAGAGGGTACGCGTCACGATGTCCATCACCTTCTTCTGGGAGCGTGCTCGCTCGATCATGGACATCGTGGAGGCACTGCTGTTTTACGGTTTACAGGCCCTAAACCCTAAACCCCAAACCCCAAACCCCAAACCCCAAACCCCAAACCCCAAACCCCAAACCCCAAACCCCAAACCCCAAACCCCAAACCCAAGCATGGAATGAGAACTCCCAGCACCATACGAGGGTAGGGCTCTGGAGCACCGGGTCTCTCTTTGGGTTTAGGGGTCGCCTTTGCTCTGTCGGTGTTACCTTGCGTGACTACAAGCATGTAAATCTGAAGGTGCACCTCCATGAGATGCCAACTGAGAGGAACCCTAAACCCTAAGCCTTAAACCCTAAACCCTAAACCCTAAACCCTAAACCCTAAACCCTAAACCCTAAACCCTAAACCCTAAACCCTAAACCCTAAACCCTAAACCCTAAACCCCCAGAACCTACAGACCCTGAAGCTGAAGCCTCAAGCCTTCTAGCGCCTCCTCCCCGAAAGAACCCCCACTTGCCGACTAAAGTACGGAATTGACCTCACACGTTTTCATAATGTCATTATAGAATTATGTAGCCAAGGTACTCATAATATAAATCCTACATCGTTCGGCATGTTCCTCAAGTAAGGGGTAGCGGGCTCGATCCGGGTCGGTGTGACAGGCAGACACGGCGTGGAAGGACGCGCAGGTTGGCTACGTGGTCCAGGTTGTCGCCTGGTATATCGTGTGCCAGAACATCAAATTCCACCTCTGCCCAAGGAATGAGCTTAAGAGCGACACAGAAGATGAGACCTTTGCCAAGTTCACCAACGAGATGGAGAGTGTGCCTCGCTTGTAGCGGGGCTTGCGGTATCCAAGATGACCACCATACACACCTTCTCGCACATGGCGTAGCAACATCTCGCCCATTTGTGAGGCCCATGACAGAACGGCCCCATAAATCTCATAGAGGGCATCCCAAGGAAAGGCGGCCAGAGTTAAGCGTTCAGATACCTAAGTAATGTCCAAGTCTACTTGGGCATGAAAGTACGTCATGCATAGTGACTATGGGGTCCAAGTACATATTATTCACGTACACGAACCCACAGCTGGGTCGATTTCATGTTGCCCCTATAATGGGTTGATGGAGGGTTTAGAGGGCCACCGTAGCCATAAGGTCTTGGACTACATGGAGACGACCTGTTCCCCTACAGGGCGAGCAGGGCGAGGTTTCGGCTGCGTCGTTGCCACGAACTCCTTCACCTCAGCCACTGGGTCACTACTGAGCCACGGCAAGAAGGGCTTGGCCTGAGGTTTGGGGTTTATAGGGCTGCTGGGTTTTTCGTGCTTATGGGGGCTATAGGGTTTATGGGGTTTAAGGGTTTATTGGGTAGCTACCCATTTTGACCCCGTAGTAAAAGGGAGGGGTGCCTTCATATGAAGCAGCCCTAAACCCTAAACCCTAAACCCTAAACCCTAAACCCTAAACCCTAAACCCTAAACCCTAAACCCTGAACCCTACTTCATATCTGGGTAGATTGGCCCTTTAAAGGTGCCAGGTTGCTCTGTGTAGGGCTCAGGATTAGGACTGGCACGTGCAACGTCATCGTTTGGGGTTTAGGGTTTAGGGTTTCGGGTTTAGGGTTTGCTTTCGGGCTTTCGGGCTTCAGTCTCGGGCGGGGGAGTTGAGAGTTTTTTCTCTGCCGCGGCCAGAGCGTGCACAAAGTGTCTTCTCCATGAACCCATTGTTGCAAAGATGGGAGCCACTCCCACGCTCTGTTTAGGGTTGAGGGTTTAGGGTTTAGGGTTTAGGGTTGAGTCTAGAAGGCCCTTATCCCCGTTTTTAGGGTTTAGGTTCCCTTGCAAGCCCCTCTAAGCCAAAAAGGGCACCCTGATTATTCCTAGGTTATACTTTTCAGCTCCCTAATCCCCAAACCCTAAACCCTAAACCCCAAACCCTAAACCCTAAACACCCTATAAACCCTACACCTAAACCCTAAACTTTGAGTCTTCAGGAGTGCCTTCACCCGCTTCAACCAGCAAGTCCTGAACTCGATGGCGCCACGTGCCAGCACCACCTTCCGCTCGCTGGACATCTTCGAGGCCAGGTTTATGGTCTGTTAGGGTTCAGGGTTTAGGGTTTCGGGTGTAAGGGTTGGGGGGTTTAAAGTTTAGGGTTTAGGGTTTAGAGTTTTAGGGTTTGGGCAGCCGTGCCACTGGACACACTGCACGCCGCCCTTGTCATCTTACATGCAAGGTGCGCGCCCATTGCGCGAACCTTCCCGCCCTTTGAGAAGCACCAGCCCCTCACAACTCCTCATCCGTCAAATGACAGAGGAGAAAGCAAGAAGTTCATCTCTTCGCACCCACACCCATAAGCCCAGCTCATGCGCCATCAACGTCAAGCCATCAACAAAGACTTGTTTTTTGTAAGCGATGATCCGCAAACCCTAAACCCTAAACCCTAAACCCTGAATCCAGTGGCTTGGGAGCCAAGCAGGGAGAGCCGGTCGGCGTGGGGTGGGGGTGGGCGGAAGCAATCTTGCTCCTCGTCAACCCTAAACCCTAAACCCTAAACCCTAAACCCTAAACCCTAAACCCTAAACTTTAAACCCTTTTGAGGCAAGTCCCCGTATGAACCTCTAAATGCCCTTGGCCGGGGCCAAAGGCGACTACGAATGCGATTTGCACACGAGTTGCGCTGCAGCTTTTGTGCCTAAACCCTCAACCCTACTCGGAGCACCCTTGTACCTTGTAGGGTTTAGGGTTTAGGGTTTAGGGTTTAGGGTTTAGGGTTTAGGGTTTAGGGTTTAGGGTTTAGGGTTTAGGGTTTAGGGTTTAGGGTTTAGGGTTTAGGGTTTAGGGTTTAGGGTTTAGGGTTTAGGGTTTAGGGTTTAGGTCAGAAAGGTATGCTGCCCTTGTTTCAGAGTGTAGAGTTTACTCCGGGTAAACTTTAAAGCCCCTAAGCGCACTCCGTGGCACACCTCAAGTTACCAAAGTGATCAGCTCATGGGCTTACATGGTTCATACTGTTCGACCCTTTGGCTCGTTCAGGCGTCACTCTCGTCAGGTCTTTTGACTGGGACTAGGGCCCTGGTGCACGAAAGATTGGAGATTGTTTAGGGAGGTTTTTGGGGATAGGGCTTAAGGTTGTTTTTTCACCGGCCTCGAATACTCAACCTCGCACCCCAAGCACCTGTTCCTGAGGCCCCTGAACTCCCGAACTACCCCCAGACTAACAAAACAACACATCCCAAACCCTAAGCCCGAAACCCTAAGCCCGAAATCCCAAGCCCTAAACCATAAACATTAAACCCTAAACCCTAAACCCTAAACCCTGAAGATAAACCCTATAAGCCGCAAGCCCTAAGCCCTAAACCGCACCCAAGAGAGGTTGGAGCCTCAATGCCCGGGGAGACGATCGCCGGACATGGCTCCCAGGCCGCCACCGCGCTCCGTCCCCTTCTTGGGGTTTAGGGTTTAGGATTTAGGGTTTAGGATTTAGGGTTTAGGGTTTAGGGTTTAGGATTTAGGGTTTAGGATTTAGGGTTTAGGGTTTAGGGTTTAGGACTTAGGGCTTAGGGCTTACGGCTTGGGGTATAACATCGGCTGCCACTATGGATTGTCGGTGCGTCTTCTGGGTCAAACTCTGTCAGCACAAAACAGGGCCTTGCATGGCTTGGATGTTAACCCTAAACCCTAAACCCCAAACCCTAAACCCTAAACCCTAAACCCTTGTTATCAGACCCTGTAAGCCCTGCTGACCCGCACTCAACCTTATGGAGAGCCCAAACCTTACACCCTATAGTCGTTTATTTCTACTTCCATGATTTGAGCAGTCTCGCGGTGAGAACGCATGCAGGTGTTACACCTCTGGGTCTGGACGATAATTTGGGGGGGCTGGTGCCCTGCGGGCTACCAAGCAGACCTTCGGCAGCAGTGCGCAGTTAAGGAGTTCTTAGAGCACGCATGCTATCTTGTGTATTGTTATTCGTTGTAGCAGTGTTTTTGTAATATTTGTATATTTCCATATATGTATACATGTTATACTATATTTGTATTTTATGGGAAGTGCTTCAGGTTTGGGGTTTTCGGGTTGACAGTAACGTTTTGAAGGATTGAGTATATAACAGGGTGCAAGATCATTACCGCACTGAGGACAAGTGGAAGGTCAACTTCATCGGCTCCTTATGCTGGGCTGGAAATGCAGATCCATCGATTTGCCCGCGAGTCTCTTACGCCAGTGACTGGCACTGCATCAACAGCATCCCATGTATCATGGACCCAGTGGAGTCCATAGTGACCACAGCCGCTCCCAGCAGCACGATTCCCGTGACGTTGAAGGTTTCTTAGGGATACTTGGGATTAGTTTTTAATTTATGGGCACTTTAATTCCTAAGAAACAGCAAACATTTTAGTTTTTGCTAGGGTTGCAAGTTCAGAACAGGTTGGGATGCAGGATCAAACCGTATCTCCTGCCGGGGTGCACGTTGCCGGAAGTTTTCAGAGCTGGGATCCCACATCGACACAGCTCTCGGACCTCAACCAGGATGGTGTGTACGAGGTGACGCTGTCTCTGTCTCCTGGGTTCTACGAGTTCAAGTTCATCAACGGCAACTCCTGGGATCATGTGGAATCTGTGCCTCCAGACTGTCAAGAAGCCGGCTCTGGCCACTCCAACCGATACCTCTCTGTCAGCAGCGACTCCATCGGCCAATCGGTGCATGTCTGCTTTGGCGGTTGTGCCTGTATCCCCCTTAGGAATTATTCTGTATTTTTGTTTATATTCGGAATTATTCTTTGTTTTTGTTTATATAAAACCCAAGTTTGCAGATGTTATTTTTATTAAGGTTCTAAGGGGAGCATAGGTGCACCATGCACCGAGACTACGTCCGGCCCAGAGCCCATCACGACAACTCAAGTGCCTACGACTGCGGTGACAACTGAGGCTGAGACAACCACACGAACAACTACAGCCACAGTAGTCAGCACCACTCTGAGCCTCAGTTGCTGAGTGCGTACACTTTACACTTTTTGGGATACTGTGATCCCCTGTAGAACTCAAAGTGTACACTTTTTTTTGGGGGGGGGGGGGGGGCTTAGGAACTCAGCAACTAAGGAGCCAGAGTCGGGTCAAATACAGCTTTGTCCCCGTGGATGGCGGAGTGGACCGGGCCTGCCGGGGCGGCAGTCCAGGGGACAACCAAGCTGAGTACTACACAGTCCTCCCAGGCTTGGTATCCCAGTGGTACCCTCTAAACCCCTTTTTTGTGTTTTTTGGTTCTAGGTTTCTGTTATTCAAGTAACCAACCCCCAAAAAAAATGGGTGCCCTTATTAGAATATCTTTCTACTGGGCTGCCAAGCAGGCGTTGCGGACCTCGCCGACTGCAAGGAGAGATGTGAGGCAGCCACGGTGTGTGTCGGGGTGGAATATAGCGCTGGGCGCTGTGAGGTTTGGACTCGCAGCAGCGGAATTCAGGCGAGTATCAGCTTAACCGGCTTCGTGTGCCTCGGATATGTGGCCGAAGAAGCTAGGGAGCCCTTTGGGATGATTTTTGTATTCTCCTTTATTGGGCTTTAAGGGAATCATGTTCAGGGCTGTTTTTTTTCTCAGAGGGTTTAACCTTATTGGGTTTGCGGGAAATGATCCTTAGGATCATGTTTTTCAGAGGATTCTAAAAAAGAGCCATCCGAGGAAGCCACCACCACCGTAAGCCCGGCCCCGCCAGACTTCGAGGCCGTCGATGGAGGCTCGGGTCGCGCCTGCAGGGGCTCCCACGCAGGCGACAACCTTGCCAGTTGCCTAGCCTAGCCTAGTACTTGAACTTTACAATTTCTTTTGGGTTTCCCCGGTTTTTTAGTAGAAATAGTCAAGTTTAACCTTCTTAATTCTTGGGTATCCAGTTTTTTAGTAGGAAGAACCAAGGTTAACTTTCTTTGTATTCCTTGGCTCTTGTCAGAAGTCTTAAACTAAACCCTATACCCTAAACCCTAAACCCTAAACTCTCAGAAGTAAGGCTACTACACGGTCTCGGTGCTTCCAAGCCTCGAGGCCTGCCAGGAAGGCTGCATGTCCTCGAGCTCGTGCGTGGGCCTCGAGTGCTCGGTAGTCCAGTGGTACTCTTTTCCCTTTTTTTGGGGGGTTCAAGTTTCCCTAAAAAGGTAACCAACCACAAAAAGCGGTAACCTTTTCCTTTTTTTTTCAAGGTTCCCTAAAAAGGTACCAACCCCCCAAAAAAAAGGGTTGGTAGTCCAGTGGCACCCTTTTTCCCTTTTTTGGTTCAAGGCTCCCTGAAAAGGTAACCAACCCCAAAAAGGGTGCCCGAATTAATGATGTGGTTGGTAGTCCAGTGGTGCCCTTTTTCCCTTTTTTTTGTGGCAGTGGGGGGGGGGGGGGGGGGGGGGGGGTTCAAGGTTCCCGAAACAAGTTTTGGGTTCAAGGTTCCCTAAAAAGGTAACCCAACCCCAAAAAAGTGGGTGCCCTTACTATGATGTGGTTGCTTGTGCCTTAGACGCAGTGAAAGAGAGAGCATTTTTTCAAAGTTGCCGAGTTCCCATCTGTATACATCTTCTGGGAACCAGCAGGGATGGAGGATCCCAAAATAAGCAACTTAGCTCTGAATTCCCCAGGTGAAAAGAGGTTTGTTGGGCGTTTTGGGGGAGGTACAGCCTTGGCCGCTGCGAGCTGTGGACCCGCCTCGGAGGCATCGGCTCCAGCATCGCGCTCGACGGGTTCACCTGCCTCCGGCGCCTGCACGCTTCGACGACGACTGCGAGTGTTCCAGGCGGTCGCAGGCTCGCAGCCTTTCTTGCCAGAGAACCTTAAGCCCTAAACCCCGAAACCCTAAACCCTAAACCCTAAACCCTAAACCCTAAACCCTAAACCCTAAACCTAAAAATTAATCGCGGGACGGGGGTGGGGAGGGGGAGAAGAAGCAGGGCAGGCTTTGCAGCCAGAAACGTGCGCAGACCTGCTGCCCCTCTCTCCACATCCTCCCAAGTTGGCCCAAGGCCGATTGCACAAAGGCAATTGTGTTTAGGGTGCTTTGGGATGTTCCCCTTTGTACTAACCCCCCCCCTATTATATTCCCTACGAACGATTGTTAGTATAAGGGGAACATCCCAAAAGGATGCTCTTGAAGGCCCCTTCCACATGCACATGCACGCTTGGCCGGCGCCAATAACGCTAAACCCTAAACCCTAGACCCTAAACCCTAAACCCTACACCCTAAACCCTAAACCCTAAACCCTAACACTGTGCAGAGGAGGGGTGCAACTATGTATTTGTGATATCGTTGGGTCCTCGCCCGGACTGCAGTATCCGACTGTCATAAACTGCTTCAGAATGTGATGACAAGAGTCACCAACCATGTCTCAAGCAGCCGTTGCTCATAAAGACACGAAGTAAATACGTTACCTGATCACAAGCATCTATATGCCCATGTTTTTGAGGTCATGCGTATTATTTGCATGTACAGATATGAACACTTGAATCAGAGATGCCCTAATACCCTAAACCCCTTATAAACACACCATACACACCAAAATCGTGGGATGTTCCCCCTTATACTATCAGTCCTTAACAGGGATTACAATAGGGTGTACTAGAATCCCCATGAAGGACCGTTAGCATAAGGGGAACATCCCAAGCAAAATCCCTTAAAAGCCTCTAAACATCCCACATAAACCGTGTTTTCTGAACTGAACAGACCTCTCCAGGAATCTCTAAGCGGATAGAAAAGGCCTGTAAGCTCTACTTCAAAATCTGGAACAACACCTGGGGTTTAGGGTTTAGGGCTTCATAAACCACACACAACCCGAAGCCCGCTTGAAAACGATGTCACAGCCACAGCGGATGCTGCCGGGTGAACTCTGCTTGGAACATTCAGCTCTGGACTCGAGACTCTGCTAACTCTCGCACCAAAGAGGTGCGGAGCTGGCAATTCCCACGTGGGGGGTTGGTCTGCTTAAACTACTCTTTCCTTACGAACCACCAAAAAAACATGAAAGACAAGAGCCCCTATCTTCCCCTGATGAAGAATACTCATTTAGTTTTTTTTTTTTTTCGGGGTGGTTCTTAAGCAAATAGTGGTAAAGGTTCCTGGTTGGTTTTACTAAGGGTTTCGGGTTTAGGGTCCAGGCTGTAAGTGCCCCAAACGAGGTTATAGCCAGACGAAGCTCGAGAGACTAGTTCATCCCTTTGTCATAGTTGGGTAACATTTTGCATTTTTAAGGGTACTTAAACCCAATAAGGAATAGACATGTGAATTTTTAATGTTATCCCAACCATGAACTAGGTCCACTCATGAAACAACAATTACGCACGAACCTCCAAGTACGGATAAAGGGCCCCCGTAGGTCTGTTCTTCTACTGGGGCTTTCTTGGTAAGATGTTTTTACCCAGGAAGGGCCTGAAAAACCCTAAGCACTAAGCCCAAACCCCAAACCCTAAACCCCAACCCTAAACCCCCAACCCTGAACCCTGAACCCTAAACCCAAACCCTAAACCCCAAACCCTAAAACCCCAACCCCTCAACCCCAAAACCTCGGACAGCCCCCCCAAGTGTACAGCTACAGTTCTGTTTGGAGTCCATCGCTGGCACTTCGTCGAGCAGAGGAGAGAACACGCCATAAAGCGAAAGGAAGCTGGGTTTCGGGCTTTTGGGTTTGGAGTTTCGGGTTTTGGGGTTTTGGGTTTTGGGGTTTAGGGTTTTCGGGGTTTTTTTGTGTTTCGGGTTGCGGGTTTAGGTATTTGTGGGGTTTATGGGGTTCATGGGGTTTGTTGGGCTTATGGGGTTTATGGGGTTCAGGAGGTTTATGGGGTTTGGGGTTTAGAGTGGGGTGCGGGGGTAAGGGGGGCCAAGTGCTCTGTCCGTGAGTTGGCTCTTGAGCACCGACCTATCCTACTTTCACCTGGACCCAGAGTAGGCCCTTGTTCCTTTTTTAAGGGTTTAGGGCTTAGGGTTTAGGGTTTAGGGTTTAGGGTTTAGGGTTTAGGGTTTAGGGTTTAGAGTTTAGGGTTTAGGGTTTAGGGTTTAGGGAAGCCCCTTTGAGCCACAAAGGGCACCCTTGATTTTCCTAGGTGACTCTTGGGTCTAGCCACTGACCCCTACTGACTCGGGAACCGTGCAAATTACTTGAGATGTGATGAGACTGCTTCGATGATTGCCTTAGGGTCTGCTGTATCCTGTAGAGGCTAATTAGAGGGGAATGGCCTCACACTTCCACCCCTGAATGCGCTCCAACATCAACCAAAATGCTAAACCTTCAAACCCTCAACTCGAAAATGCAAACCCAAAAACCCTAAAACCCTAAAACCCTAAAACCCTAAACCCTAAACCCTAAACAGTGAGCAGGTTCTTCCCTCACTCCTTGGCCGCCTCCGCGATGGTTCGGGAGCCCGGGGGCCCAATGCGCGAACTCACCGGATGAAGCAGGTTGCCGGTAGGGTTTAGGGTTCAGGGTTAGGGTTTAGGGCTCAGGGTTTAGGGTTTAGGGTTTAGGTTTAGGGTTTAGGGTTTAGGATTTAGGGTTTAGGCGTTTAGGATTTAGGGTTTAGGCGTTTAGGATTTAGGGTTCGGGGGCTTACGACTTAGGCTGCAAGATGAGTTGCCCCTTCTATCCAGGTAACCCCAAATACCCCGCCCAAAACACCCTGTCATACCCTTTGACACCCTAAACCCAGGCCCTAAACCCTAAACCGAAACCCTAAACTCTGAACCCTGAAGCCCGGTGGCGGGCAAGGCTTTAGCGGAGCTACCGGGCGCCGCGCTTCAGCCGGCACTGCTGGGAGAGCCGCCAGGTCCTCAGATCGCCTGGCGTTTGAGGCCTCAGGGTTTGTAGGGTTTGTGGGGTTTAGAGTGTTTCTAGGGTTTCTAGGGTTTCTAGGGTTTCTAGGGTCTCAGGGTCTCTAGGGTTTCTAGGGTTTCTAGGGTTTCTAGGGTTTCTAGGGTCTCTAGGGTTTCTAGGGTTTCTAGGGTTTCTAGGGTTTCTAGGGTTTCTAGGGTTTCTAGGGTTTCTAGGGTTTATCGGGTTTATAGGGTTTATAGGTTTTTTTGGGTTTAGAGTTAGGGTATACGGTTTCGGTTGTTCTTCAGAGACAAACCTACATTCCCTCTTGACTTCTTCCCCAAGATTTCAGGGTTCAGGGTTCAGGGTTTAGGGTTTAGGGTTTAGGGTTTAGGGTTTAGGGTTTAGGGTTTAGGGTTTAGGGTTTGGGGTTAAGGTTTAGGGTTTACGGTTTAGGGTTTATAAGGGTTAAGGGTTTGGGGCTTAGGGTTTAGGACCCCCCCTCCTTCTCCTCTTCCTCGTAGTCCCTGGAGTCCTCCTACTCTGCCCGCGGCACGGGTTTCCTCCCTAAACCCTAAACCCTAAACCCCTGAACCCTAAACCCTAAACCCTAAACCCTAAACCCTAAACCCTAAACCCTGAACCCCTGAACCCTAAACAATGGACCTTAAACCCGTTTTTCAAAGATCAACCCCGGGTCCTCCCCAGAAACTCCCAAAAGGGGCGGCTGGCAATTTTTTTGTGGTATTTTTTATTTTTAATCATTATCAGCATTATTATTATTATGATGATGATGATGATTCTTACTATGATTATTACGATTATTATATTCTTATATCTATATATATATATAGAGAAAGTTTTTTTTGTTTTTTTTTTTGAGGGGGGGGGGGGTCCTCTTGCCATGCATAGCCTCGTAGTTAGGGCACCCAAAAGAGTGCCCATAAATTTGGATAGACCCCCACCCCATAAGCTCAAGCCCTCAACCTGAGGGTCCACCTGTTTTAGGGTTTAGGGTTTAGGGTTTAGGGTTTAGGGTTTAGGGTTTAGGGTTTAGGGTTTAGGGTTTAGGAGGTAAAGCATATGAAGTAGGGCTGTTATTGGTGAGCGTACGTAAGGTTCCTTATAATATTGGTGAGTGTATATTTTCGGTGTCCTTTTGGGGATACAAGGAATATAGACCCTACATCATATGAGGTGCACTTGGGTGTTCAGCTCTTCCTACACGGTGACTTTAGGGGCTAAGTCTGTATTACACCTAAACCCTACACCCTACACCCTACACCCTAAACCCTAAACCCTAAACGTATGGATGTTTCCAATAGTAGGGCACCTCCTGCATACTGAAACCCTTATGATAGGAATCCCGCCAAAGGTGTGCACCTATCTTGGGAACTCCCTACATGGGCGCCTAAGGGAGCACCCTGGGTTCCCTAACCCCAAATTTAGGGTTTAGGGTTTAGGGTTTAGGGTGTAGGGTTTAGGGTTTAGGGTTTTAGGGTTTTAGGGTTCTAGGGTTTTGGGGTTTTAGGATTTTAGGGTCAGGATTAGATCTCGTCTGCAGGGCTCCGATTGAGAGCATCGGCGGTCCCTTGCCACCCCCGGCAGTGGCTCCTGCTGAGGACGCCGTTGTGGGGCTTGCCCAAGAGTCGAACCCCCTTTGATTTAGGGTTTGGGGCAGCTACATGGTTCCTTCATAATATGTATATATATATATATAAGTAAACCAAAGTAGAAACATAAATAAATACAAATATATATATATATATGTATATATGGTCCCTTAATTGGGGGAACCCTTGTATACTTCTCACATGCCCGATGCAACCCCAGGGCCCAGACTTCAGAACCCATTTAAAGACATAGTAAGAGACCGTGCCACTTACCGTAGATGATTGAAGGTAGAGACCTTAAAGCACATAGGGGTTCTTATTCTAGTGACGTAAGGCATATTGTTACCTCAAACCCCTTCTAGGTCCCCCAGTAGTACCCTTTTGGCGCTTTTTTGATGTGGAAGTTCCTCATTAGAACTCAGTA